GTGACGAACGAACAGAAATACCAACGACTGGTTTAATAGTGAGAAATAAAACAGTGAGAGTTGAATTAAGGTTATATGTAGTTTCACCTAGTGGAAGTTCGATGGAGAAATATTAAAATCAAGTCACTATGTAGACAAAAACAAGCTATTCTTTACTTTCTCAAGCGATCTTTATGTGCATCTACATCTATAACAGAGTACTGTTTCACTACCCTCCTATCATAGTGAATACTAAAAAAATATACTTATATTTTCATTCTTAAGCTATTGTAATGATTACACAACCAGAGATAAAAACTATTATAAAAGCTAGCTAGTCTGTTTATACATCATACGCGTAACTATATAATTATGATTACGCCTGCTGTAATCGTGTGCTACTACGCCTTGGTTCCAAATCTTCAGTAGGCTCCATTTAAAAAAAAGTAAACACATACTCTTAATACGTGACCACGAACAACTGTCACGCGTGTTGAAATCGATACCCTAAAAGAATTGCTTCTGGATTACGCTGATAGAGTGTATTGTGAGCAATCACGGATTGGCACTACTACCTAACTATTTGTACCATGAAACATTCGTTCCTTTTTGAAAATCGGTGGGTTTCTGTTTTCTGGTGCTCTCACCTCTTGTGAGTCCGCGCGGATAGGTACCACCATCCTGCCTATTTCTGCCGTGAAGCAGTAATGCGTTTCGGCTTGAAGGGTGGGGCAGCCGTTGTAACTATACTTGAGACCTTAGAACTTATATCTCAAGGTGAGTGGCGCATTTACGTTGTGGATGTCTATGGGCTCCAGTAACCACTTAACATCAGGTGAGCTGTGAGCTCGTCCACCCACCTAATCAATAAAAAAAAACGTTATAGGCACTTGAGATGCTGATTCCGTGTCTCAAATAAAAAAAAAAAACGATGCTAAGGTGAACAATTTTGCATATAAAACTGCGGTTACGCCAATAACACGTTCAAAATACGTAAATAACGCGTACGACACGTTATCAGTTTAATGTGGACACAGATGCGCGGGCCGTTCCCATGCATCTTCACCCACCCTTCACATATTACACACTAATTGATACTGACTCAGTGCGACTCAAGGATTTCATACTGGTATGCTATTTAACAAATTATCTTTACATTTCATAGTCAAGTGATTTAATGGGTTTTGTTTTAAGTTCAAATAAACTAAGTAAGGCTTTTCCACTGTCAGAAGAGAGTTTTATTTTAGTCGAATTACCAGTTTTTGTTATTTTAAAATTACCTACATTCCGTAATATTCGAGGACGAATAAATACGAAATATTCGAGGACCCGTGGTAACGTTTTTTTATTCGGACAATATTCCAATGCGATTGGTCCAAATTGAAAACAAAAAAAAAACATAATAGCAAAATATTGCAAGACTGTATGTATTATATTAGACATAACAATTTATTTATAGCTCAAATACACATGCATAGATTGTTAACGAAACATAACCAGCATGCGTTCACAAATGATATTCACAATGAAAGCATAAAACCTGTTTAAGAAGCAATTTTGCAGACTATGTTAATCTCTATATATAAAAATGAATTGCAGTTCGTTAGTCTCGCTAAAACTCGAGAATGGCTGGACCGATTTGGCTAATTTTGGTCTTGATAATTATTCGTGGAAGTCCAGGGAAGGTTTAAAAGGTGAGAAAATATAAAAAAGCTCGGAATTATGTAAAAAAAAACAATTTTGTTTTTCCTTTGATGTGTCCCCTTGATGTGTCTTTTATTTATCGATTGAGGCACTACGAAGTCTACCGGATCAGCTAGTCTGTATATAAAAATAGGCAAGACAAAACAGTCAAGTAACACTTAATCGGTTCATTAGCCGATTTTCTTTTTTAAACCCAGCTTGCGGCTCGTGTTGACTAATAGAGATGGTCACGTAACGAAATAACGTTGTACCCTGACTCATGAGTTAATCAAAAACAAATAAGACCTTTAAAAAAGGCGTAAATACTAAATTTTGATGCATCATTTTCTATAATCCTGATGTAGGCTTATTTAGAACCGATTTCCGCAACTCTTATTATAATACGATTGATAATGTACCAGAAAGTGAAACAAGAGTGTTTCGTTCAGTGATTGTGGTCGAAGTTGGATCATGGAATGAACACTACTTCACTTTTTTTGGGTATAAGTACCTAGTTGCATTGTATACTCCTAATGAGTAAAGTAAAGTAATGTATATAGGACGTGTACGTAAATACATAAATAAGATATGTTCATAATTGAAATTACTTTTACAGCTTACGAGGGCTGCACTAAAAGTATCGGGAATGGAATATTTCCACTTTTCCTGTCATATTAAAATCTTTTTAATTGAAAACTCCTTGGTTTTAAAAATCGAATACCATTTATTTATTTAAAAAAAGATTCTCTGTCTTGTCACGAGGTTTTGTCAAACTTGTTTAGTCGTTGAGAAAATGGAATTGACTCGAGAAAATTCAAGAGCGATGATTTATTATGACTTTCGAAGTGGTTTAACACAAAAACAGTGTGTNGCGACTTCACAGTACGAAAGTACACAACGCTATGGAGATCAAAGATGGCTGCGCTCCCTTTATACTTGCTGGCAGCACCTAGCGGCTAAAGATGGAACTAAATTGACTGTCTATGGTTGGACATAGACAAGGAATTTAAGCTAAGTACACACTGCTTCTTCATAATACAATGCTGTATGTTTTCCAAAGGCACATCAATAAATAGCTATATGGACTGACAAAGTATTATAATATAAAGATTTACTTTTATACTTTGACATTTATAATTACTTCATTATCAGACTCATTACTTGCCAAATGAAAATTTGATTTTATAAGAATAAATATAAGTTGATTTTGTGATACGTTAAAAGTTAATAGATAGTTGATTTTAGAAGTTTTAATTAGTAAGATAATATGAATATATTATTCTTATTTTACGGTATGACTGTTACCCGATTGTCTCAATAAGTATTATAATAAATTTTTTTTATTAACAACTTGTTTTATTTCAGAAAGCATTTACTTTATACATTTCCTAATACGATATTGGAATTATATACAATTCCGAGGAAATTTATACATTTCCTAGGATATGTATGCATTAAATAGTTTTTCAAACAATATTTTATACATTTCCTAAATAGTATCGGAATTGTACACATTTCCTAGGATTTGTATACAATTCCTTGATTTCATACATTTCCGGTAACATATATATATAGTGATTGTTTTAATTTGATTAAAAACGTTAACGCGTTCAGTTTTATCCTTTAACAGATTTGTTGGTCTCCGATTGCTTGTACTAGAAGCTTCCATGAATTCTTTCTCACCGTTATTATTTAACTTGATTTATATTTAATCTTTAAAACATTTTGAAGAGAAAAAAAAAAATTGAGCAATTAATGCCAAATACTTTAAAAAATGTAAATATAAAATTTGTATAATTGAGCGATGGAATGTAATTAAACATTAAGAAGTAAAGTTTCTTTGAACAATAATATTTTGGTAAATATTTTACTAAATAATAGAAAGAAAAAAAAAAATTTGGAATTTATGCTTCTTTTTTTTTTGCTTTACATAATATACGAATCAGTCTTTTGCGTTATTAAATTTGATAATTTCCCAATTTTCTTTTTCAAGAAAAAATTTTTAAAAGGATGAGGACTGCCACGTTCCGCGCCCCCGCATAGTATCAGAACATTTACGACTTAATTTAGATCGATACGAATACCGTTTTATTGAATTCGGGGAACTCGAACTAATACATAATATTCATTAGTGACAGTCAAGTTTGAGAAGCGACGATATCGTCTGACGTATGAAGTGTGAAGACTTTTTAGCGGGAACACGAGGAGTGAAGTTATGTGATTTGTTTTATTTTGTCTATTTAGTGTTTCTTCTTGGTTTAAATGTGTAATAACGGTGGTTTATTAACTGTTTAGTATCTGTGAAAATGCATAATTTTGTGGGAAAATGAAACAAAGCCGCTGGACGTAACTTCTCGGGATCCTCCAAAAAAAGTCACCGAAAAACTCTCAGTCAGTAAATGACCACCATTTTACTGAGATTATATTTCATCACATATCATCTCATTTGTAAGTTTAATTCGTTTTTAATCATTTATGTTAATGTCGCGATTAGTTTCCTTCGTTTTTTTTTTTATTATTCATAAATTGTAAATAATCAAAACGGCGAACTATAAAAATCTTATTACTTGACGCTGGCCAATGCACAAACCGTGCCGGAGCCAAAAAATAAAGAAGTATAAAACAAGTTTGAGTGAGTGTGGCGGACAGCCCGGGGGACAGGGTGGGGGCATGCTCGTAGAAGCCGGATATCCGACCCGGGTTAAGGGGGAGTGCTTCCCTAATTACTGGTAGGACCTCTTGTGAGTCCGCGCGGGTAGGTACGACCTGCCTATTTCTGTCGTGAAGCAGTAATGCGTTGCGGTTTGAAGGGCGGGGCAGCCGTTGTAACTATACTTAAGACCTTAGAACTGATATCTCAAGATGGGTGGTACATTAACTTTGTAGATGTCTGTGGGCCCCCGATTTCTTCAATCTACGATAGCGTAAAAGTTAACTCAAATTAGTATCGAATTGGAACGTTTGCCTACGTTTGCCGCTAGGGGCGCTGTTCCAACTCCATACAAATTTGAGTTAACTTTTACTCTATCGAGAACGTTAAAAAACTCTCACTAAGCTCATAGGCCTAATATCGTAAATAGAGTCACGAGATTCCGAAAAAAGTACAAATAATATTTTAGTTTAGTTCGATTTTCTAAATAATGTTTTTAATTGAATATGCAATTTCGAAAAGGGCACATGTCGCATATTTTGTCAAATACATTTTTTCATATACATGTAGTTTTGAGGCTTACCTACACCCATTTTATAATATATCCAGTTAATTTTCAATTGCTAATTAACACTAAAATATATCTCAAAAGTTAATATTTTAAATTTTACACTGCTTTAGAAAATAATCAGTTTTTTTTTTTCATTTCCTGAACATTTTACATTTTCAGAGATGTGCCCTTTTCGAAATTGCATATTCAATTATTATTTTTAGTTTCTAAACTTCCCTACTAGCAAGTTTAAATGGCAGTATTTAGGATCCGAGTTAGGGTTGGCTCTACGTCTGCTAACGGATAGAAGACATATTTAATTAACCTACTAACTACAACTACTGTTATAATTAAAATAGAACTTTCACCACAAATGTCTTGGATTCGGTATTTAAGAAAGTTCATTCGCGATTGTTTCAGTACGCGTCCGGTGTAGAGAGCTCGGCGGTGTGTGCGGGGGCCGCGGGTTCGAGTCCCGGCTAGAGGCAGGCGCGCCGACCGTCCTCGCGGTAAGCGCACATCATACCCCTGTTTCATGTTTGCCATCTGAAACGGACAGATTTTTTTAAAGTACAAAAAAAGAAGTGTTTTTTTTTTTATCCTACCTAAGCTGAGAGCCTTGAGAGGCTATATCAGCGTAACCTTAACTAGTAGGTGAGCTCACGGGGCTCAAACCTGACGACGTTGCTAACACTGGCCCTAGCAAGAGCAGTGCTTCGCAGAATCTACCACCGGATCGGAAACGCGACCCACTGAGAAGATCCGGCGAGAAACTCCGTGGGCTGTGTCTGAGGGTTGATTTACTCGTCGAGCCCTTCGGAAGCGACGGGTTCGACGAGAACGATGACCGGTGCTTGAGGTACCTAAAAGCACCGTTAGTGGATCGGGAGGATCCGAAATGATATGTTTTGGGCGACGTCGACTGCTTCCCATTCTGTCCGCAGGATCGGGAATGTAGTTACCGGCGGCCACGGTGAGAGGGTTCTCGTGTCGTGCCGCTTTATCGAAATTGGTACCCGCCTGCGGGATTCGAACACCGGTGCATCGCTACATACGAATGCACCGGACGTCTTATCCTTTAGGCCACGACGGACTCCTATAACGGTACCTTGCTTTTTGCAACTCTATCTGTCCCTCCAGGGTCTTGGCGAGGTATATAACGAAGAGCTGCATGAGCGCGCCCCCCAGCGCGACCGTGGCGATGGTGTACAGGTTGCGCTCGGACCACGACCGCACTATCTCCAGGCAGCCACTGGTCCATATGCGCTTACTAGCCTCCGCTACCTGAAAACAAATATAACATTTTTATTGAAGTGAAAACTTCTTTAGAATCGTTGTGATTTGAAACCGGATGCAACGGAAAAAACGACAGGTAAGAGACACAAATACAAAAATGTGTAGGATGAAGCCAGCAAACAATGAGACAGAAATATACATACTATTTAATACAGCGCCATCTGTGAGATTTTTTAATACTAACGTGTGTATGAAAGCTCTTGTAGTGAATTTTAATTTAGGATATACGTGAAATTAATATATCAATTCACAGAGGGCGCTACCTTACAATTATTTACTAATGACAAAATTTTACATATACTTAAGACGTTTAGGATAATTGTATTTTAATTTTGGAAGGTTTCACTTCTACCACATGTGAATTGCACACATGTTTTTTTTTTTATTAAACCGGCGTACGATCTCATCGTCCGCTTTTAGCTTCAATATGTACAGTTCAAAAAACTGTATTAATCATCTTTTAAATATTCGCAGTAATCATTAATCATTAACTGTAGACGTCATCGGTTTTGAAAGAGATGACGTCATCAATGGTACTAAAGTTGAGCTATTTAATTTTTTTTTATTGCTTAGATGGGTGGAAGAACTCCCAGCCCACTTGGTGTTAAGTGGTTAGTGGAGCCCATAACCATCTACGACGTAAATGCGTCGCCCACCTTGAGATAAAAGTTCTAAGGTCTCAGTAAAGTATTACAACGGCTGCCCCGCCCTTCAAGCCGAAACTGCTTACTGCTGCATTACTGCTTCACGGCAGAAATAGGCAGGGCGGTGGTACCTACCCGCGCGGACTCACAAGAGGTCCTACCACCAGTAGCCACAAGTATTAAAATGTCGACGAATAACACGTCAATCGAACGCGCCCACTGAAACAGCAATGTACTCGATACATCGGAAATAATGTAATGACAATAAAGAAAAAGAGATTAAGTCGTATAAGCAGCTTTAATTATATACTCACCCCCACAAACATTCTCATCATTAACGCCCCCGCAACTGGTGTAGGGAGTCCAACACTCATATAAATATTAGCCTATCCATTAAGTACATGTATTTTCTACATGGACACCAAGTTTCAAGTCAATCGGATGCATGGTTCAGTAGTTATAACGGAACATCCGTAAAAACCACTGTAAATTTATATATTAGTATAGATCAGCGGTCGGGGAACCGGGGTAAATTGCCCCAAATGGGGTAAAATGAAATTTGGGGGGTAAAAATGAAACTTTTGTGAGTAAAAAGTATATATCGAAGTGAATCTTCTTTAGAATCGTTGTGATTTGAAACTCGATGAAACGAAAAAAGAAGTCCATAGAAACACAAACACATAAATGTATAGGATTCAGCCGGCGAGAGAATGAGATAGAACACATTAATTAATTATTGAATAAATAATGTTTAAATATTTTTTTTAGTTATTGTTTTCTTTTCAAAATTATCATGGGGGCTATAATATGAGAGATGCTAAAAAGAAGCGATTTTGGTTTTTTTTTGTTCTTCGCCATGGGGTAATATCAACTTACACAAAAGTATTTTGAGATAATAATTAAAAAAGTTCCCCGACCGCTGGTATAGATCAATACGTACTCGACAAATGTTCACGATTGACCGCCACGGTGAACGAATATCAGGAATATCACCCATGCGGACTCACTTCAAAAACATACACACGTACCGGATAATTTTGCACTCCATAGCCGCACATGATGTTGACCAGCCCCGACGATATGTCGGTCGCGTTGATGCAGCACGAGAACGGAACCCCGCACCTCTCGACCGACGGCGACGAGCAGTTGAAGTACTCGTTCTTGGCCCAGTCCATGTAGCCGTCCGAAGTGATGCCGCAGCAATGGAACTGAAACAAAAACGTGATTGAGGGTAGGTAACTTTTTTTTAGAGGTTATGCGACTTTTTGGCGGGAACGCGAGGAGTGAAGTTGTGTTGTTTTATTTTGTCTATTTAGTGTTTCTTCGGGTTTAAATGTGTAATAATGGTGGTTTATTAACTGTTTAATATCTATGAAAGTGCACAAATGTGGGAAAATGAAACAAAGCCGCTGGATGTCGCTTCTCGGGATCCTCCAAAAAGTCCACTGAAAAAATCTTAGTAAATGACCACCATTTTACTGAGATTATATTTCATCCCATATCATCTCATTTAATTTCATCCCAGTTGATTAATGTCTCAAATTAATCATCTTCATTTCATTTCACTCTATTTTATCATTTTTCATAAAAATAAGAATATAAATTAAAATAAGACATGACTTAAAGGTCTCAGTTACCAGGTCATAAAATCCCCTTAAAAAACACTTTATGCACAATATATGGGAGTAATTGTCCGAGTCCTCAGTCAGGTGAGCAAAGTGTAATAAAAAAAGGTTTTTTTTTTACTGAGAACAAATCATGTACTGTGATCTGGCCTTTATTTATGATTTCCCGAGTATAAATTATATATATTATCGAGCGCCAGAGACTGACAAACACACTTATATACGTTAAACGCCTAGATAAAGAGTAGACAAACCTGTTCATCACACGAAGGTTTGCCCGATGTGAGAATCGAACCCACGGACCTCTGCGCAACATTCAGGAGCGCTAACTACTGCACCAACGAGTCAGTCAGAATCTCGATAGTTTTGATATTACATAATCCTCAATCAAATGAAATAGCACCCGAGTCGTTTTGTTTTAGGCCCAGTTTTAATCAGTCAGATGCTTTAATACACAAACATGACTTTGTCTACAATTTATCACAAACCACAACAAATTTGATTTGGTTGTTTGTTTATAGACAAAATGCAAATAATTTTTAAGGAAATATCGGTCATTATTCTTCTGTTTAGTTGACAACTTACGTCCCGCTGAGCGAAATCGATGAAGTTCTGCAGGTCGGTGTCGTCCCTGTACGCGTGGACCACGTGTTCCTTGAAGCTCAGCTCCAAGAAGCCTTGCAGCGAGCGCGGGAACACGAACCCGCAGACAGCCCCGCCCATTTCCACCAGGAACAAAATCAGCAGGCACAGGGAATACTGCCATGTGGATGATACAAAACACCACCATCATACTACGTCTCATATTACAGGCCCCAATAATATCCAAGGCATCTGGGGATTTTCGGGGCACATTTATGTATTTTTAATACGCTTTTATTATTATAGCTTCAGACGTATTTATGTTTGTAACGGAATCTTTGAACATGATTTTGATCCCCTTCAAAACGTCGGATTAACTCGAAATTTGGTATACTTATTAAGGACCGATGACATTCCAATATAAAAAAAAACAAAATTGAAAAAATTTAAATTCAACTAAAATAAGTTTTAATAAATTTGAATTAAACAGCGTGGGTTGCATGGTATCAGTGGTTACAAATATTTTATGAACAGATATGAGTAAAACGGTTAATTTGATATTATCCTGAAAAGCATCCCACGCTTTTTTACAATAAATTCATTTTATCTTACACTATTTTTAATTCAAATATATTTAAATTTATTTTCTATTTTTTAGTTGGATTTTCTATAAAAGCGTAGTTTGTTAGTTTTTTTCTATTATTTATTTTTATTGACATACAACTTTATCACATGTCTGGTGTTAGGCAGTTAACGATCCAACAATAAACGCTGCAGCCCACTTTGAGTCATGAGGATGAACCGTCAATTCAAAAAGAATTCCTCTTTCAATCTGTTACCGCCTCACAGTAATCACAATAATGATGATACCTACATAGAGGCTCAGGGCATACCTGGAAACTGCAACTCTCTTAAATACAACTAAATGTTTATTGGTGACAGAACATATTGTCCTGAAATGTCCTGGGTATTCCAGTGGCAATGCTATAATGCATTCTAGTTTGAAATTGACAACAGAGAAGCCATGAACACATCCATATAAGCAGTTTGAAGCAGCACAAGAAGTTTGATACGCAAATGTTAATCTATACATATAAATAAAATTGGAGTGTCTGTTTGTAATATTGAAATAACCGCTTTTTACTAAATGCATATGAATATATATGTACCGTACATATACCAAAATAACATTTTTTACAATTTTTGTCTGTCTGTCTGTTTGTTCCGGCTAATCTCTGGAACGGCTGGACCGATTTTGACGAAACTTTCACTGATAGGTAGCTGATGATATAAGGAGTAACTTAGGCTACTTTTTTTATATCAGCTTCGCCCCGGGACGTCACTCGCGGTACGACAATAACCGCGGGTAAGATCGCGGGACTCGGCTATCAATAGTAAAATTTAATGTTTCCGAAGCGAGAGCGGGTCGCTAGTTTAAAATAAATTTGAACAATTATTTATAAAGCCCCTACAACAGACCCAGTCCTGTCGACTATATAATAGTCAGTGATACTTGATAATACTTACAAATTTCAACAGACAAGTGTTCTCTCTCAATGCTCCAACGCATCCAGCAAAACTAACTATGAAGACAACCCCGCCAATCAGAGCTATCAGTAAGCTTATATTCAGAATAAAATCATACAGTGAGTTGAGCTAAAACAGAAAACATTCCAATTATTATTTAATGTTTATTATAGTCTATCTGTATATGATAGAAACTGGAACCAAAATAGGAAGAGTGTAACAAAACCTCTTTACAGTTAAAAAATATATCAACATATAAAGTGAAGTGACCTGCTCTGAATCTTCAATGGTAGTAGAAGTATTACCCTGAAGTAAGCAAAAAAGTGTTCAGATTTATTAAGTTAAATTTCCTTTATAGTGAATCAGGTATATATCATATCGTATCGTATCGTATCATATCCTATCATTTAATAAAGTTTGAATTGTTTACCCCAAAATTATTACCTACATTCTAGTATTATTGTAAGTAAGGGAGTAAGGGGAAGGTAATCAACATCTCTGCCATCCCAAATGTCAACCTCACCTGCACGCGCTGGATGGCGGCGGAAGACAATTGGCTTCCGTGGTACTTCCTGCTAGATAACCAACGAGGCTCTGGCGACCGAGCAAGTAGCGGTATAACTACATACCTACCTAGAGTAGAGGCTACAGCAGCCTTGAGGTCCAAATAATCTCTAAAAGTGCTGGAGCAGAAGGCAACGGGAAACCACTGCTACTATTTTCCCATGAAAGTTATGGAAATGTCTAAAAACAATTTTAAGAAGGCGAGCGATCCGCGTGGCATCCGGCGCCATGATCTTTCCGGGGATCAGGGTGTGAAATGTGCTACCGGCCAGGACGATGTAGGCAACCAGGCATCTCCTGGAAAATATGCTACTGGAAGGAGAACCATACAGCTACGCAACAAGATTCGCGTCGGTACATGGAATGTTCGTGGTCTCCTCAAGGATGGCAAACTGAAGATCTTGGAAAGCGAGCTAGAGAGATGTAACTCCACTATTACTGGCATTAGTGAAACTCACTGGAAGGATAGCGGCCACTTTGACACAGGGAAACATACCATATATTACTCCGGAAAAGAAAACAACAGCTTTGGCGGTGTGGCTATTGCTATACCAAAACTGTGGAATAATTCTGTCCTGGGCTACAACCCTGTTAATGAGAGAATTATGTCTATAAAAATTGATGCTTCACCAGTTCCAATAAATATAGTCCAAGTTTATGCACCCACATCGACAGCTGATGATGATATCATGGAAACTTTCTATAATGAACTAGAAACTTGCATGGATCAAGTCCCAAAGAGAGAGCCTCTGATTGTCTTGGGAGATTTCAATGCGAAGGTAGGTAGCACAAAAAATGAATCTGGCCTGCGCCACATAGTAGGGCTATATGGTCTGGGTACACGTAATGACAGGGGCGAACGCTTAATTCAATTCGCCGCCGATAACAACCTCACTATAATGAACACCGTTTTTAAACAACATCCAAGGCGCCTATATACGTGGACCAGCCCTGACGGCAAACACCGTAACCAGATCGATTACGTTATGATCAGAACTAGATGGAGAAGCTCGATATGTAACGCGCACACATTGCCCGGAGCAGATTGTCTCTCTGATCATGAACTGTTGATATGTGGCCTGAAACTTAAACTGCGCAACTGCACTACCAAAAAAATATCAAGACGTATTGAAATTGTAGACAGAGAGGCCTTTTATGAAACTCTGCAAAATGTAAAAGGTACCTCGACGAATGCCATCCACGATGGTGAGTCGGAGTCACTTTGGCAATCAGCCAAAACAATAATTAAGGACGCAGTTAAGATCTCCCAGCCCAGGCTAGGGGTTGCAAAACGCCAGCATTGGATGTCGTGGAGCACTTGGAAACTCGTAGAAAAGCGGCGCAAGGAAAAAGCATCTGGAGCTAGCATGGAAAAACTAAATCTGCTAAGTTCTGAAATACAAACTGCTTGTCGGAGAGATCGCAATATGGAGCTCAACACTATTTGCACAGAACTCGAACGGCACGCTCAGAAACTCGAGACAAGGGATCTTCACATAAAAATAAGAACGATTACAAAACAATTCAAGCCAAAGTCCTGGGCAATAGAGAACTCTGCTGGTAACACTGTTACAGAAATTAAGCTGATTGTCAGGGTATGGGAGGAATACTGCAAATCCTTGTTTTTAGATAAGCAAAGATTACTGATCCCTGAATCTAAGTACGCAATGCCCACAGAACAAGAACCGTCTATATTGAGAGTGGAAGTAGAGGCCGCTATAAAACACCTCAAATGTGGCAAGGCTACAGGGGTTGATGAAATTCCCATAGAGATATTTAAGATGATGGGGGATATTGGTGTAGATACCTTACACTCAATTTGTCTGCAAATATGGAATACGGGAGAGTGGCCTAAGGATTGGTCACATTCCTTGTTCATTCCACTGCATAAAAAAGGGTCGACTAAAAAGTGTAATAATTTCCGCCTAATATCTCTGATATCCCACGCGAGCAAGGTCCTTCTTTCTATTCTAAATAAGAGACTACAGGCATATGTGGGTCGGGAGATCGCAGAAGAACAAGCCGGATTTGTGAAAGGAAAAGGAACACGCGAACAAATTCTCAACCTAAGACAAATCATAGAAAAAGCGCGTGAGTTCAATAAACCGCTGTTTATTTGTTTTGTGGATTTCCGCAAAGCTTTTGACACCGTTAAGTGGTGGAAGCTGTGGGAAGTACTAATAATAATGGGAGTACCAGAACATCTAGTTTATCTCATTAAGAGACTTTATGAAGACGGCACAGCTGCTGTTCGCGTGGATGGAATAGATTCCGAAAATTTTAAGACTCAAGCTGGTGTTCGACAGGGATGTATTCTCTCCCCTCTTTTGTTTAATATCTACACCGAATACATAATGCGGATGGTTTTAGAAAACTGGGACAAAGGTGTTTCAATTGGAGGTCGACTGATATCAAACCTTAGATATGCAGACGATACTACTCTTTTTGCAACGTCACAAGCCGACGTAGAACGGTTTCTTTCGCTTCTGGAAATAACTAGTTCCGACTTTGGCCTTGCCATAAACCGCGATAAAACTAAAGTGATGGTGGTGGATCGTAAGAATAACAATCGATCTGATTTACACGAAATAGCAAACTGCGAAGTTGTCCAGAGTTACATCTACCTGGGATCCACAATCACAAATACTGGAAGTTGCGAAGAAGAGATTAAAAGACGTTGTGCCGTGACACGATCAGCCGTGGAAAAGCTCACAAAAATATGGAAAGATCGCCGTATAACTAAAAACACCAAAGTTCGCTTAATGAGGTGCTTAATATTTCCTATTTTCCTATATGGAGCAGAAACATGGACGATCCATCAAAAATGTCGTAAAAAGATTGACGCCCTTGAGATGTGGTGCTGGAGACGCTTGCTGAGGGTAAAATGGACTGCTCACCGCACTAATGTATCCATCCTCAAAGAGCTCCAAATCAAACAAAGGCTTTCGTCGATTGTGCAATTGCGAATCCTTCATATGTTTGGACATATCATTCGTAATGAAAGATCATTGGAACGTTTAGTGGTTCAAGGAAGAGTAGACGGTCAACGCTCTCGCGGCCGATCACCCACAAGGTGGACAGACTTGGTTAAGTTTTCTACGAAGTGTTCCCTTACTGAGTGTACACGTACTGCCACAAATAGAGAGAGATGGAGAAGCCTCTCAAAAGCCGCAACCAAATATTAAGACTTACGTAACCACGACCACTCCGCCAGGAGTGAACGACTGAGAAGAAGTATTATTGTGATGAATGGAATCTATAATAGCAAGTATTACACAGATATTAACACCACAATTCTAAAGGGTAACAAGGTAACAATGTCCTTATTCTTTCATTGGAAATTACTCATTATATTTTTCCTATGTATTTGATGTAGCCATTTCAATTAGGTGTACTAATGAACATGAGTTCTCTTATCACCTTTGAAAATTGTGGGTGATTATTAATAGCACAGTTTCTCATAACAAATTCACTAAATTTGAGACTTGTTTGAGACATGAACTTGAGTATGAGAATTACTGACAGCCCTAAAAGACACTTTGAGGCTTTAAATTTATTAGCGTACTTAGAATGTCTGAGTAACATATTTCACAGTAAGTAAATGAGTCATTCAATTTTGCCAATTGTCATCTGTGCCAAAAGCTCTTTATTCATGTTTACTTTATTCACATTTTCACTATATTATGCAGATTAAAAAAAATGCAACCCAACTCCTATATTCACAGCTAAGGAATTCTTAATTCGGAGATCTAATCAGTACATTGGTACATACACATTGAAAAAAGGACTTCAATATGTAGGTGCCCAACTGAATATTCTTTGTAAACACGTCATCAGTTATCAATGTGGTCAGAAACCTCAATTAAATCAATTTATTTTATATGAGTCGTCTATTATCAAAGGTGGCAATCTGTGCATTTGGACAAAAAAAAATTATTGATATGTCAATACAGATTGATTTGAATATAATCGTCTCCTTCAAAGAATACGGTTCAAAACCTGCATTAAATAAAGGTTAATAGTTAACCTGTTATTTATCTAAGATGTCGTTCTGAAGAGTTTTGTGACTGCCAATGGAATACAAAGTCAATAATTCGTTTTTCTGCTTTACCAAACATTGTTCAAAAGTCAGATTGCCGGCTTTGATAATAGTCGACTCATAAAATATATGTACTTGTTTTTTATTATATCATAAAAATGTATTAGTCATTGTTCCAAGAGTGCAAGCAAGTAGGCCTTTAATCAAGAACTCAGAGCTTCAGTCATAGGCATGTATGATGTTCACAGATGCTCAAGAATTGCATAGAAACCTAGGCATCTACCAGTGTGTGAAAAATTTATAATGTATAATATATACATGTAACCTCTATACGATTAATCCTTAAAGAGGTTAATATGTTATTTATATCATTCTCCTATAGATGACATAAATAGAATTTCGATTATTGAAACATTAGAACATTAGACATATAAAGAGCATTTTTGCAATATTAAAATATATAAAAATAATGGTGAAGCAATAGCTTTAAATGTTGTTTCTCTTTATAAGGGCAACTCAATTGCTATAGTTTTACAAAGCTAAACTGTATTTTGATTTAAATAAATAAATACATTATATACATATACTGTTAGATTAAATAATTCCTACATACAGTTTTATGAATGGCAGGGAGAAAAAAATATTTAATAGATTCACGACTTTAATACCTTTATAAGTCCAGTGGCTTGCCATTTGTCAATAAATGAATATAGCCCGATTCCGATCAGCAATCCGCCTACCAACTGAAATTTAAGATTATTTTATTTTGTTTACTTCTGTTGGATTTGGAGATAAGGGTGATATTTTTTGACAAAAAATTCATTCAAAGTTCAATCACTTGACTGGAAAGGATGACGGTCGATATCTGTGTCGAATTTATTCAAAATATTTTTAAAGTTGATAGAGTAAAGAAGAAAACGTTTTTTTTTATAATATGCCCAAAATAATGACTAGTTTATTCCACTGGGACATTGTCTGTAATACGAAGTAAAATAATTAAATATTTAAGTTCACCAATTATTACGAAAGGACGATGAACTGACTATGGCAGAGTGCGTGCGAAAAGATTTTACTATTACGATAACAATGGTACGGGGAAAAAAAATGGGCTAACGTAAACCGACTTTCAACGCTTTCCATTATAACTTTTAACTATACTATATATTTTTATTTTCACTTTTGGAATTAATTAATTACAGAAACTTACCCAAAATAAGAAGTTTATCACAAAAATCATGTATTTTACACAACCGCTCACATACGTAAAGTTCGGTGCTCGACGCCGATGCATTTTTATTTTATTTTCAATTAAATTCTTACTTAAAGTTTCGATCGTATGTTTTTATTATGCTTTTATGCGAATACTCATTCTGGTTTGAGTTAGACTTGAAAAAATAACATCTAATGAGTCAACCACAGCCACCATTTGTCATTTATCAGTTGTTAATGTCAACTCGCTTTTTTTTTGTTGAATGCAAAGGGAATCTATCTCCACATTACTATGTTACCTTTTGCGATAAAATTGCCACATGCAAAGTAGAATGGATCATAATAATATATTTTTTAAAATTTCTTTAATGAATGTTTTTTTTTTATTTCATTAAATTCATTTATTGCTTTATTATGATATTTTTCCCACTCTCCAAAGTGGTACAGCGAAGTATAATACCTAACTAATTAGTACTATCAGCAGATCAGTGACTGTTGGTATAGTTTGTCTTTTTGTCGATCAGCTGGCGATATTTTTGTAAATCTCACTAACTGGTGGGGTGAGGCCGGAAAAAGCAACAGTAATCCTCACATTTTGAACTTTGTTGTCTGCATCAGTGTTTAGCATATTATTATGACGCTTTTGAAGGTATCTACGGAATCTCCGAGTAACTCCAAAAGTTGATCACCTGCTTTCAATCTACTTATCAATAGCATGCTATATATTAATGGCTATATAATAGAGGAGCGTAATAATATCGACCAGCAAAGTTTCTGTCGGAGCGTAATATGAGAAAGGCAATTAATGAAAACATGTGCCTGGAGTGTGCGATTATCTGGATGTACCCCTTTGTTATAATGCTGCAACCACCAGGAGTATCCCTACAGTCTTCCGAGGGTATAGGGATTCTTAGGGCCACTATTTCGCTGTTCAATGTCAGTCTTTTGAAAGATAAAGCCAAATTGACGTATAAAATGCTGAGAGTTTTTAACGGAGCGAAGTAGCATCACGCTTGAACTTAAGTTTAACAAAGCACAGATTTGACATCGGTTAGAGTACTACTCCGAAATTTGAACCGGGATCCCATTACACCTACTTCCTTTTGACTCTGCATAGAAGAGAGACGTTCGGGTTGTCGATAAAAAAAATTTATTGCTTATATGGGTGGACGAGCTCACAGCCCACCTGGTGTTAAGTGGTTACTGGAGCCCCTATATATATACAACTTAAATGCGCCACCCACATTGAGATATAAGTTCTAAGGTCTCAAGTATAGTTACAACGGCTGCTCCACCCTTCAAACCGAAACGCATTACTGCTTCATGGTAGAAATAGGCGGGGCGGTGGTACCTACCCGTGCAGACTCACAAGAGCTCCTACCACCAATCATTACGCAAATTATAATTTTGCGGATTTCATTTTTATTACACGATGTTATTCCTTCACCGTGGAAGTCAATCGTGAACATTTGTTGAGTACGTATTTCATTAGAAATATAGGTACCCGCCTGGGATTCGAACACCGGTGCATCGCTTCAACACGAATGCACCGGACGTCTTATCCTTTAGGCCACGACGACTTAAATTGAATTGCGTCGTTTGGAATCTCTGGGTCTGCAGAGGGACTTCACTTCTCTTTCTATTTTTACCGTTCTATCGGGAGTAGTTGAAAGAGTTTTTCAAGACAATGCTGTCATCTCAGCATCGCACCACCCCACCCCACTCTCCATTAAGTGTGCCGTACGATCGACGACCTTAAAAGCCGCCGTTTTTACTATCGCACGGCCCGCTATCGAATAAACCGAAGATAAAAACCGAAAACCGCGTCCCTGATGAAGGATATTGTAAGATCACATGAGCGCGTAACACCACCCTGCCCGTTAATTCTGCCCCTATGCTTAAGCTTCCGTTTCAAAGTAATAAGCCGACAAATCAATGGAAACTTCGACCTCAAGTCACGAGATGAGTGGTGACATTGCAATTGTGAAGTTTATGAGCTGCGATAATCACTAAATACCACTTTGGTTGTTTCAGTAAAAATATTGAGCCTATTTTTTCACCACTGAAGCCTGTAATGAATGATCGGCAGGAATGGGTTGATTTGTTAACCGTTAAACAAATAAAATAGTTTCCAATAATCACGGCTAGATGTCGCTACAATATCATATTATATAATGTCATCATTTGGACGACAAGAATCTGATAAAATGAGTAGGTATCTATAATCTTGATATTATCATCACTACAACAGTATTATGTAAGTCGTCTGTCTGGGTTTAATATTGTTTTCTTACGTAAAATAATAGTCTTGTAGTCCACCGCCATATCGGATCTATGCGACGGAGTAAAAACCCAAAAAATATGTTGTTAGATCCTCCCGATCCGTTCTCGGTTGATTTAGGCTTCTCAAGCACCGCCGTATCGCGGAGACTGGCGTCGTTGGTAGTTGACTATCGCTTGGACGACCCATCGGTCGGGCGTGGTATTGATAGCAGGAACCTACTCTGATCGGGTTTAAACCCCGAACGGAGATCGGACGTCAGGTGTAGGAGTGCAGGGGAGTCGTTTAGTGCAGTAGGGCCCTAAAACTCCTGGGGCCCGCTGTCTGCTCCCAATATCTGCAGATCGTCAAGTCCCACATAGCCCGGGCACCCCCCTAGCTAGGGGTGGGGACCTCTTAGGAGGCACGGCCCAAAAAAAAAGGCTTTTCACCGTCTTCAACGAACTCGTCGTCTACGACGAAAGCTTCGACGAGCGAACCGGCGGTAGATTCTGCGAATTACTGCTCTTGCTAGGGCTAGTGTTAGCAAATTCTCTCAGCTTAAGCCCGTGAGCTTCTTTATCTGTCCGTGCGTAGTTGGAATAGCCCCTTAGGCTACCAACGAATAGGTAGGGGGGAAAAAATCGGTGGTAACTCATGAAATGTGAAAATTGTCGTAAAATGCTCGTTAAATAATAACGTTTGGAAAGTCGGACTTTTTAAACGAGAAGTCTGCTATCTATACTTTCTATACTAATATTATTAAGAGAAAAGATTTGTTTGTTTGTTTGTATTGAATAGGCTCCGAAACTACTGAACCGATTTGAAAAATGCTTTCACTGTTTGGAAGCTACACTATTCCAGAGTGACGTAGGCTTCTTTTTTGAAAAAATTTAGGGATATTTACTAAAACTTCAATAATGTAACCCAAAGTGTAAAAAAATTACCTAAAATATTCTTTAAATCGCGTGCGCTGCGAAAACTATTTATGATATTATAGAATAAATGAATGTACTACAACTTTGTAAAAAACATTATTAATTACAAAAAGTGTCGCGACAGCATGTGTCTAACTATTGTAGTTAAACCGAAATAAGTGTTCTTTTATTTAAAAAATAAAACAACGTCAATTTACGTTGAAATTTGTTGTTAAAGACCCGAGCGGAGCCGGTGCGGGCCGCTAGTCTGCTAGAAAGACAAAAAAAATAAAAAAAAATTGAAAAGCTAAATTATTTGTACGTACTCGGTTACATTTCTAATACACGTTTAGAATTCCATATAAACTTAAAGTGTGTTTTTATTTTTAAAACGCTTCACAGCGATTGCGTAAATAGAAGATTCATCTTGTCTCGATAATCTCGGGTCTGTCAGTTGAATGATAATGGCCCCACGCGATTGATGGCACCAGATAATAGATAAACCTGACACTTGACAGTAAACATTTGAATAACACAAACACTTTATGTTATTCAACAACACTTGTGAAAATTATTTGGGTTCATACATCCATATTTTGACCACCGATAAAGCAGTTATCTCGCTTAAGAAAACCCAAGTATTTTTCGATAGAATAAAAAATATTGTTCGCTATAACCTCAAAGAAAGCCGCTGAGTTTGCTTTTTGCTGTTGAAAGAATTTCTTCATCTTCTATCTTCTATACATATAAAAATGAATTGCTGTTCGTTAGTCTCGCTAAAACTCGAGCAAACCACGCCCGATCATCCAGCCCAATTTAGGATTCCCTGTGTTATGGGTACCAGAGACTAACATATTATATACTTATATAGGCTATATATTAATACGTGAAGCAAAAACTTTTTTCAAGATTTTGGTTCAAGTTGTCTTTTTCGTTGTGATATTGGACTTCGTCGTAAATCACATAATATCAGGGCCGTAAGTTCGTGGGCTCACCTAGAGTTATAAAAAATAGTCTATACCATGATGGCAGTATGGTGGCGGTAAAGTGGGTCATTTGTCTTGAAAATCATTGCTAAGACATAAAATATTCTGTACAGGTATTTTTCAGGTTATGCCATAAATAACGCGCTTTAATATTTAGGTAAGAGTTTTTCAAAATCCATTTCAGCCTACACTTGAATCGCGCAAGATAAAGTTTTGGCATCGTTTTAAATTTCAAGATAATAATATGATTGATAAAATGTTTGAAGGCTATGGTGATTATTTAACACAGATAACCCCCATCTGTGTTATTTAACAACACTTGTCCTGTTTGAATTTTATTATGGCGAAAAGTTGGTTAATTGGCTACCGCCTTAAGGCATACGGATGCGACGGCTGTTCAGATTTTGGGTTTAAAACAAAATTGAGAATAGGTTGCGGTCTTCGTTTATCGAAAACATTTATGTACTTTATAAACACGAACCAAACTCGCCCTTATTCACATTAAAATTTACAAGATACGCTAATCATGACTCATTAACGCCGGATATTTTTATTATTTATTTGACTTAATTTTTCGAAAGATTGTACATTGGGATGTATGGAAAGTATGTAGGTACCATTTTGTTCGATAACTTTTTGCCATCTTATAGGCAGTGGCGTAGCTAGGTAACCAAGGGCCCTGGGGCAAATTAAAAAAAGGGGCCCCACTGCTATGTAAGCTGATTAGGTTTTATCAAATAAAAATATCAAATATACCAATACTTTAAAAATGCTAAGATACTTAAGCTTTTTTTTTGTGCACTGCAGGGCAGTTAATAAAAATATTAAGAACAAGAAATTATAAAGGACTTGGCTTCGGCCTTAATGAAATTTTTATTTCAGGATATACATAAATTCAGGATATATAAATCACATAAGACCTGGCTTCGGCTTTTTTGAAAATTTATTTCAGAAATTATATAGAACAGACAAGGTCGTATGGGCTAAGATCCCCTTGCCTTTCCTAATAATGGAAATTGTACCAAAAAAAATTTTTTTTGCCTGGATTGCGAAATTGGAATTTTGGCGCCAACGTGAAAAATAATGTCGCCTCATTGTACATAATATTATTTTCTTTAACTTGTGTATTTTCAAGTGGTAGTATGTAATATAAATGGTGGATTTTTATAAATAATTTAATTTTCGTGAACTTGCTTCTTTGACGATTTGTAGTAAAACTTGAAAATATTTAAATACGTAATATGGGACAACACAAAAAAGGGCGACGCCAAAATCCTCTCAGGAAGATAGCTTAAAAAAGTGGATAAAATTGACACAACATCCGATTCGTTCACTAAACTCATACAACACCAGGAATTTCGTAATTTTTTCAAAGGTTTCGGTATTTTCTTGTGGTTTTGTCGAATCTCCGGTCCTTCTGTGTCGAGTCGACATTACTTTGTCCTCCGCAGTATCTAACTTCGAGTATAACTATGAATAGTGACAGTTGTACCGATTGAATATTATGGCGTTGCCAAATCGCTGTAATAACTGCAGCATTACGTTCAATAACTACCGGCAGCTACCTAAACAAGTGCTCAGTTTAGATTCACCTCTGCAGCAACTCTTGACGTCTTGGAAACTCGTAGAGGTACGTGGCTTTAAAAATTACAACCACTTATTATATCTGTTTTGCAATAAATCGGTGGCTTTTTTTTCCTAAGCTGATAGCCTTGAGGGGCTATGTCAGCGCCGCCTTAACTAGTAGGTGAGCTCATGGGGCTCAAACCTGATGACGTTGCTAACACGAACCCTAGCATGAGCCGTGCTTCTCAGAATCTACCACCGGATCGGAAACGCGATCCACTGAGAAAATCCGGCGAGAAACTCAGTGGGCTGTGTCTGAGGATTAATTTACTCGTCGAGCCCTTCGTTGCAAGCGACGGGTTCGACGAGAACGATGACCGGTGCTTGAGGTACCTAAAAGCACCGTTAGTGGATCGGGAGGATCCGAATTGACGTGGTAGCACGGCCCGGTAGCCTTTTTTTTTTTTTATTGCTTAGATGGATGGACGAGCTCACAGCCCACCTGGTGTTAAGTGGTTACTGGAGCCGATAGACATCTACAACGTAAATGCGCCACCCACCTCGAGATATAAGTGCTAAGGTCTCAGTATAGTTACAACGGCTACCCCCACCCTTCGAACCGAAACGCATTACTGCTTCACGGCGGAAATAGGCGGGGTGGTGGTACCTACCCGTGCGACCTCCCAAGAGGTCCAACCACCAGTGATTACGCAAATTATAATTTTTGCGGGTTTGATTTTTATTACACGATGTTATTCCTTCACCGTGGAAGTCAATCGTGAACATCCATCTATCATACCATCGTTGCCGTACGCTCGGCGGTGGAAACGATGACAAGTGTAATTTTTAAGCGTCCTTAGAGGCTGCGCGGAATACTCCTGGCGACTATGTCGTCGATTTACTGTTAGTTCAGCATCGTGCATATATTATGTTCTGCGACTCTCACAGACACTGCACCAGGTCTATAAACCTTTTTTGTAGTAAAATTTTAAAATGTATCGAATTTCTTCATTAGATTCACTCATCTTGACAGTACGTACAATAAATAAAAATCACACCTTTTGCCTAACTTTAATTTGGAATTATCTTCTTTAAAATTTAAACTTTTAATGATACCAAAACCAGCCAGGTACAAATAGTATAGCCAAATAGATTTTATTACAAGTTCATACGTACTATAATGCGAAAAGACTTTTTCCCCAGCCTATTAATACAAAAAGGCGCGGTCTTGATTTTTACGCAATTAGCAATTTTGTGATGATTATCTATCTATCTATCTATCTATCAACCCATGGACGTCCACTGCTGGACATAGGCCTCCCCCAAGCCTCGCCACAAAGACCGGTCCTGCGCTGTCTGCATCCAGCGGATCCCCGCGAACCTCAATAGGTCGTCAGCCCACCTTGTGGGAGGCCTACCCACAAATTGTGATGATTATAACAACGACAAATTCTATATTCAAACAAATGGAATTACTGCGAAACAATTCATGAAAACTTGAATAATATTCAGAATAAATATTTGAATTTTACCATACCATTTACCGTGACGTGAATTATTTTACATAAATTAATTGAAACTATTATATGTAACCTATACACTATCATTAACCAATCTGATAATAGATGGCGCCAACGACATGATTTGCATAAACAATCAATAGGTATTTATTCAAAGTATCAGTATGTAACACAGTTTATTTTTATTAGTTAAGCTTATTAATATTTGAGTCATTTGTGTTTTTAAGCAATAAATTAAGCATCTGATTATTTTCACATCAAAACCGTGTCCACTAAACATTCTATTTGCACGTCAAGTTAGTCCGCAACCGAGCAGCGATGTTATTCGGTTGTCTCTACCCCATGATCGACGTACAACTTGATTCATAGATACAACTCACAGAATCTCTCACCGGATCTTCTCAGCGAGTCGAGATTCCGATCCAGTAGTAGATTCAGCATAGCAATCTCTTGCTGGAGCCGGTGTTAACAATTCTGTCAGGTTTTGCTCGTGAGGTCGCTTAATAATTCGCGCATAATTGGAATAACTCCTTAGGCTAACACCGATTAGGTCAGAAAACAAAAGTGCTTGGGAAGCTTAACGACGGAGAGAAGATCTTCCACCGAGCGCGTGATATTGCTCGGTAGACCGACGGTCAGAACTTGTATATATGCGAGCTTATTATGAAAATGCCGTAAGCGAGATTCAGGCATCTGTCAATTATCTTGCGTTGCATGATGGCTACCGTCACTAGTGCTCCGATTGCAATCATGTACCCAATAATTTAGGACGATGAAATTCAGATATCGACCGTTCTGATGATAATGAATACCGCAGCATTGAGTTGGAAACGGTAAAGATCTTTTTAGGTAGCTCAGTGTCGAGCAGCTAGTTATGGAAAGGGCTATGCTCGGTGTTTCTCCATGAGATCGAATCAGGAATGAGGAGATTCGTAGAAGAAACAGAACTGCTGACATAGTCCGATCGATTTAGCAAGCTGAAGCGGCAGTCAGGGACGTCTTAAACTAGGATGGGGCCCTTGGGCACACAAGAATTTGAGCCCCTTTTGGAAAGTAAAAAAAGCGAATTATAATAACATTTTTTTACTGAGTTCATGACCATTTATTATAGGTAATCAAATACAGTATGATATAATATGTCATTAATGATATTATAATGCTGCTGGTTTTTTGGTTACGATTTCGATAACGGTTTCTTTCGGGATTTCTGTTGAGCAAAATCTTCTATTATAGGCATAGTATATGCCTTCTAAAATACCTTCTGATTACTGATTTGTGAAAAAAGTGTAATGTGCCCGACAAAAAGGTTTTTGGAATAAACGTGTGAGAGAAATTGTCGGTCTTTCGGGGCCCCCTGAGAATGGGGGCCCTGGGCACGGGCCCCGTGTGCTCTTATGGTAAAGACGATATTGGTGGCAGTGGGCAGCTCACATAGCGCGAAGATCGGACGGAGGTCGAACGAAGAGGTCTATAATTCTCGAAGATCGGATGGAGATCGAAAAAGAGGGGAAGAATGTTTGACAGGGGACAGCTACAGGCTGAGATGTTGATTCGAAAACGTGGGACTCATGCCACTATGTCTGAAATCGTTACATTTAAGTTGAATGAAAAAAAACGAAAACTAATTACGATTCATTTATTTATAATGCGTTATAACATTATCCCCATTATAACATTGTCGCTTGCACAATACTGTCCTAGTGTCCCTCGTCGATGGTCATGACGGTAGTGTCGGGCTCGTAGTCGTGGTCGATGACCCTGCTCCTCAAGATCTCCTTGTAGACGAACGCGGACTTGCGCGGGGTGCGAGGGCGGGCGGGATCCGAAAAGTCAACCTCGTACAAACCGAAACGTTCGCTGTGGAACACAAAATGTTTGATCTATATTTATTTTAGTTCAAAGAAAGTGTTAATTTCAATCAAATCTAACAGTCTACGATTTTATACACTTCGGCAAATAAACCACAAATATCTATACCAAAATTATACTATTGTTTGCAATTAACAAATAAATTACCAGCGACAAATTGCACAAAGTCACTTGGCCTCAAACTAAAACCCCTGTACTATGGGAACCAGAGATTGGTATATTATACTTATATATTCTAATACATTTAAATATATACATAACATATAACACCCAGGTTAAGAGCAAATAAACCTGTTCGTCATACGTATGTTTGCAGGCTTCATCCCTGCCATTACTGGTTTCCATGGCCGGTGCCTACTCACCAACAAATGGTTCACAATGCCATTGAAGGTAATATAAATATAACTACTTGATTTCTAATTAATTAATGAATAGAGTAAATCTCACGTGTATCCTGCCATCCATTCATAGTTATCCATCAGACTCCAGGCCATGTAGCCCTTGAGCCTCACTCCGGCATCGAGACTATCCAAAATGTTCTCTAGAGCAGCTCTGTAATATGTAATCCTGTCGTCATCTTCCAGTCCAACTTCAGGAGAAGTCGCCCACCCGTTCTCCGTGACGTAAAATATGGGATCATTGTATTTGTTCTTGAGATGTGTCAGCACGTCATAAATGCTGTTTGGCATAAGCTGTGAAAATAATTTTAATTCAGATTGTTCAGTGATCACCAAGTATGTTTTAGAAAGTAAATCGTTTGAAGAATCATTGTGATCACACTAACCGTCAACCAGGATGCAGCTGATTGCAGCCATTCGGGCGGGCGGTAGTTTCCTACGTTGATGTCACTGAACAAAGATACCGTAGAATATTCAGGAATGTGTTTCGTGGCGGACACCAAGTACCCAGTATAGTGGTTCACTCCAAAGAAGTCAGCGGTTCCTCTGATCAACACTCGTTCTTCCTCGGAGAGCTGCGGGAGTCTGGTGCGTGGGTAGCCGTGCTCTGCGCTTTTTTCAGCTACTCTGGCAACTAATTCTTTCGGGAAACCACCTTCTTGAGAAAATATAGGATGGACATAGATACCCCACTGCGAATGTGATTTATAGGTCATTATTAATTGACGAAGCTAGTTGAGAAATGAACAATAATGTAATGTAACGTTGTTTTTGATCGAATGACCCATGGGGGTACGGGAACGAGGTTGGAAGAGCCCTCAGCGTTAGGTGACGATCATTAGGAATGACTACTCACCGTGAGTTGGTTCATAGGTATGCATGCACCTATGCCTCTGAAGACAAAATTAAATAATATTATACTCAATTGCCGATTAATTAGTACGGAATATTGCTTAGGAAAACCAATCACTCTTTGATCTATTAGCGTTACAAAGCTTTGATTAAAATCGAAAACAATCGAAAATCTACCTCTGCTTGTCGTTTCAGTTCAGCAGCTGCGCGATCTTCCTCAGAATCAGTCAGAGGCTTGAACGAATTTACATCGAAGGTAATACCGCACTGTCCCCCTTGCTTCGTCTTGAACTCGTTGTTGTACAAGCGGTACGCCTTGGCGTGAGCTAATAAAAGATTCCTGGCACACATATACGTGCCGACGGCGGTGGCGTTGAGCATCGGGGCTTTTTCTGTGGAACCGTAACCTTGGTAGCACACTACTCTGGGTTCGTTGAAAGTAATCCAGAGCTTGACTCTGTCACCCAATTTGGCGAAAACCACGCGTACGTAGTCTTCAAACCAATCGGCTATCAGTGGATTGGCAAAACCTCCCAATTCCTGCAACTTTTGAGGCAAGTCCCAGTGATACAGAGAAATCATTGGAGTAATATTGTATTTCAACATCTCGTTGATTAGCCTGTTGTAGTAGTCGACTCCTGCTTCGTTGACTTCATTGGCGAATCCTGAGGGTAAGATTCTGGACCACGAAACCGAGAAGCGATATACATCAAGACCCAGCTCTCGCATCATCTCCACATCTCTCTCCACGTTGTGGTAAGAGTCGGCAGCGATGTCACCATTGCTTTCATCGGCGATAACTGTTGGGTTGTTGTGGGTCATGTAGTCCCAGATATTTTCCCCTTTTCCTGTAAAATTGATTAAACAATACATTTTGTGTCCAAATTGAGAGAGTTACATTTTTTTTATTGAATGAATCGTAGGCGTCATAGCATGAAATACCATCTTCATCCCAAGCTCCTTCGATCTGGTATGAGGCTGTGGCTGTCCCAAACAAAAAGTCATCTGGAAATCTCCTCTGCTGCTTGATCGACAGTGCAGAGCAATACACCCCCAACAACCTATTAAATAAAAAGTCTGTCATTTGAAGTATTTAATATGATTTTTTGGTACTAACGAAAATAAAAAAATATACATTTTCTCGACAATCATTTATAATTCAATAATGTTAATATTGTTCATTTTATTAAATGGTATTTCTGCCATTGCTCCGAAACGGCTACATGGGTCAGAATAAAATCTAGATTGAAGTCTGGATCCTTCGGTTTCTGTTATAAAGGCGAACGTGATCATTAATATTTATAGAATGTAATTTTTAACAAAACATGAATCTCTTAATTTCTACATCTATCAGAGATACATATACGAGTATGTACGTATAAGTAAAATTTTAGCTTGCTTACTGGCGCAATGCTTGACAATGCCAAGCTCTTATTTTTTTAGTTCGTAATAATCCGATTAAGGTTTGTAGAAGCCAACTTAACCTAATAGGTGTATGGCTCTAATAAAGAATATAAAAAAAAGGTTTGTAGAGAAAGAATAAATTGGAAAAATTTGTCAAGGAAGCCAACTCACTTAAAAGAAAATTTTAACCAGAAAAAAGGAAACCCACTATTCGGCAAAATAAAATGAGAGTATCATCAAAGTAGTCGAAATCAATTAAACTTGCATTGTTAAGAATAACTCAAAAACTACTACTCAGATCTTGATGATACTTAAATGGGATCACATTAGGAGCATCAGCTTTGGAATGAACCAGCAAATAAAAATCAAAATCGATTCACTTAAAAAAAAGTACTAAAATAACCGTTGGTAAGGTTTTTATATATATCAATGAAAATAACACTTTAAAAAATGCAGTCGAATTGCGAAGCTTCTTTTTTTTTGGTAATGCAAAAAGCATCGAAAATAAACAGATATTTAGACTTCGGATCGGCTCGGGTTACGGTTACGTAATGTGACGGTACATAAACAATCAACATCACTTACCCTAACAGCAGGAACGTCTTCATATTGTTTGATAAATTAGAAAGCTAACGACGACTTATATACAAATGTGTTCAATACTTCAAGTGTCATTTTTATCTATTTAAAATGGAAATAAAGACTCGCTTGAATTTTTATCTGGATATTTGATGACATTCGCGTTGAAGAGAGGAGAGGTATTAATAATCTGCGGATGTTTCTTGCAAATCTTGATGAGCGCACAAGCTCTCCGCCTGGTGTTCGAGTGTGTGTGACGTCACCACTCGCATGTCTCTGCTTACCTTGAGACATGAGTCTGAATTGACTTTTAGAACCGGTGTTGTCAACTTCATATTTACCTATTACTATAGGTAAATATCTAGTATTTAAATAACAACTCTAGGGTCGCCACTCGAGAACTTTTTGGCTTTTTGGCCTCAATTTTCTTATTTATTGTTATCCCTATCTATTTGCTGGTAGCGGTTCTATTTCAGCTATGCTATGTCTGGTAAGTGAGCTCACAGGGCTCAACCTGAGAGAGTGTGCTAACACTGGCCCAAGCAAGAGCAGTGCTTCGCAGAATCTAGCACCTGATCGGAATCACTGAAAAGATCCTGCGAGAAACTCAGTGGGGAACCACGCCTACCTACCGTGCGCGTTGTTGCATCGTGAATAGAGCCATGAAGCGGTCCGAGCTCACTTCCCAGGACCCGGAGTACCAACCTGTGTCAGTTTTGTGACGCAAACGACACGGTACGAAGGGTTTTTATTCATAAAAACAATCTAGTAACATAATAGAACTAATAACAATTTTATCTAGCATAATTGAGTGTAATGGTTGGGGACAAAGTCTTTTCGCATTATAGTATGTATGAACTTGTAATAAAATCTCTTTGACTATACCATTTGTATCTGGCTGGTTTTGGTATAATTAAAAGTTTAAATTTTAAAGAAGATAACTCCAAATTCAAATTAGGAAAATGTGTGATTTTTATTTATTTTTCGTACTGTCAAGATGAGTGAATCTAATGAAGAAATTCGATACATTTTAAAATGTTACTACAAAAAAGTTAAAAATGCAACGCAAGCCGCGAAAGAAAATTGCGATGTTTATGGACCTGGTGCAACGTTTGTGAGGGTAGCAGAAATTTGTTTTAACTGTTTTCAATCCGGAAATTTTGATCTCAAAGATGCACGTTGCTCTGGTCGCCCTATTACGGATAAAATGGATGCCATTTTTGAAAGAGTGGAGCAAGATCGGCATATCAGTAGTTACGACGTAGCTGAAGAACTGGGAATTGACCACAAAACAGTTTTGGCGTATTTGAAAAAAACTAGGTACACAAAAAAGCTCGATATTTGGGTACCTCACGAGCTCACTGAAAGAAATCTAATGAACCGTATACTCATTTGTGATTCTTTATTACGACGCAATGAAACCGAACCATTTTTGAAGAAGCTGATAAACAGTTATCAGCTTCTTCAAAAATGTGGTGGGATTGGAAGGGCATTATTCATTATAAGCTGCCACCACCAGGCAGGACCATCTATTCTGAACTTTACTGCCAACAACTGATGAGATTAAAGCAAGAAGTTGAGAGAAAGCGGCCGCAATTAATCAACAGAAGGAGTGTGGTTTTTCATCCTGATAACGCTAGACCTCACCCATCTTTAGCTACTCAGCAAAAGTTAAGAGAGCTTGGCTGGGAGGTGTTAATGCATCCGCCGTATAGTCCTGACCTTGCACCTTCAGAATCCCACATGTTTCGGTCTCTTCAGTATTTTTTAGGCAGTGTTAGGTTAACATCACGAGAGGACTGCCAAAACCAATTGTCGCGGTATTTTGATCAGAAGCCCCAAAATTTCTATAGCAATGGGATCATGTCTCTACCTACAAGATGGTAAAAAGTTATTGAACAAAATGGTATATACATAGTTTAGTTAAATATAAATAAACTATATTAAAAAATGTTGTAAATTTTCTTAAAAAAATGCGAAGAACCTTTTTCTCCAACCTATTATATCATCGCGGTACTGATGGCGCTGTGTTGTTTTTAAAAATGGTCAGCAACGCTGACGTCATTCTCTTCATTATTTCCATTGCTTGCCGTAGTGACAGTAATGCGTTTCGGTTTGAAAGGTGGGGTAGCCGTTGTAACTATACTGAGACCTTAGAACTTATATCTCAAGGTGGGTGGCGCATTTACATTGTAGATGTCTATGGGCTCCAGTAACCACATAACACCAGGTGGGCTGTGAGCTCGTCCACCCATCTAAGCAATATGGAAAAAAAAATTAAAACTTACTTTTAAAAAATCCTTTTATCAAGCTTTAAGTGTACAACAATTAAAAAATTACAACGTGGAGGTCCACCCCGTTCAGCTGTTCGAGCCGGAACGTGTGGTGGGTATTCTTTTTCTCCTACCTGCTGCTGGTATTCTCGAGCATAGCCCTATGTCAACTTCACTGAACGAGTAGGTGAGCTCACGGGGCTCTAACCTGACGTAGTTGCCAACACTAGTCCTAGTAAGAGCAGTGCTTCGTAGTTAATTTGCTCGTCGAACCCGTCGCTTGCGACGTAGGATGACCAGTGCTTGAGGTACCTAAAAGCACCGAGAGTGGATCGGGAGGATCCGAAAAATGACGTGTAATAGTAGGACAATGGCCACTCGTATTTATAGTAGAAAAGTGGGGGTTGTTTGTAAACGACATAAACAATTATTTTTACATATGTACGCCTTATATTTATAATAATTACTAACCAATAAAATCCAATAATTTTAATATTAAGGAAAGAGTTAACTTTAACTAATTTTAGTTAAGTAAATAGTAGTGTTGTACCGAAATACTCGTTTATATAAGACCGGCAATGCACTTTGCCAGTTAGAAGAATCGTAAAAAACTCTTTTCCAAATATGTGTGGGTTTTTTTTCCATAGTAGATAATCGCCTGATCCCCAATGTGTGCCTAGTAACATTTTATGTATTGAGGGGTGATTGATTTCACATTCCACGTGTTCGAAGACATGAGATCGAAGTCTTATTATTTGACAACTATTTGAACAATCATTCAATTATAACACTAAATCCATAAGAATAACAATACAATAGTTTACATTTTATAAATAAAATTATAACCTGAGTGAATCTAAAAGTGAATTGCTTAAATTTTTAAATGAATTATGTCTTTTCCTCTCCTCTTTTATCTTTTGGTTATTTTTGTTCGTTCTGTTATACGGAATTGAGAAAATATCTTTTTCAAAAATATATTTCGATAATAAAATAGACATAATATAAAGATTTACGACGACAATGACGGCAACCGTGCCGTGTGGAATTAGGAATAGGACTGACTGGATAGGAGGTGATTGCTCTCTAATAAAGGAGTGCTGATGCTATTCGGGAAAAGCGATGAAGCAAGGCTAGGAACCAGAGGGTATCATAACAGTTGGAAAGAACAGCTCTTAGCCCACTGAATTTCTGATGAGTGATACGATGGTGGATTCCGCGAAGCACTGCTATTGCTAGGGCCAGTGTTAGAAACACCTCCGGTTTGAGCCCCAAGCGCTCACCTACACGCTAGGGTAAGGCTGTGATATTTTTTTTTTTTTTTTTTTTTTTTTTTTTATAACAGCTAAGAGGCAAACAAGCAAGACGGGTCACCTGATTGTAAGTGATTCACCGCCTCTCAAGGCCATCAGCATAGGTAGGAAAAAACTTATTAAGATAATAATGAAAGAAAATAGGTAATGATTCAATTTATTTATTTTACTTTCATAATATTGTCTCAGTGTCCCTCGTCGATGGTCATGACGGCGGTGTCCGGCTCGTAGTCGTGGTCGATGACCCTGCTCCTCAAGATCTCCTTGTAGACGAAGGCGGACTTGCGCGGGGTGCGAGGGCGGGCGGGATCCGAAAAGTCAACCTCGTACAAACCGAAACGTTCGCTGTGGAACACAAAATGTTTGATCTATCTTTATTTTAGTTCAAAGAAAGTGTTCATTTCGATCAAATCTAACAGTCCACGTTTTTATACATATACTTCGGCAAATAAACCACAAATATGTATAAAAAATGATACAATCGCTGCAATTAACTAATAAATTACCAGCGACAAATTGCACAGCCACTTGGCCTCAAACTAAGACCCCTGTACTATGGGAACCAAGGACTGGTATATTATGTATATATTCTAATACGTTTAAATATATACATAACATATAACACCCAGGTTAAGAGCAAATAAACCTGTTCATCATAAGTATGTTTGCCGGCTTCATCCCTGACATTACTGGTTTCCATCGCCGGTGCCTACTCACCAACAAATGGTTCACAATACCATTGAAGGTAATATAAATATAACTACTTGCTTTCTAATTAGTGGATAGAGGAAATCTCACGTGTATCCTGCCAGCCATTCGAAGTTATCCATCAGACTCCAGGCCATGTAGCCCTTGAGCCTCACTCCGGCATCGAGACTATCCAAAATGCTCTCTAGAGCAGCTCTGTAATATGTAATCCTGTCGTCGTCTTCCAGTCCAATTTCAGGAGAAGTCGCCCACCCGTTCTCCGTGACGTAAAATATGGGATCATTGTATTTGTTCTTGAGATGTGTCAGCACGTCATAAATGCTGTTTGGCATAAGCTGTGAAAATAATTTTAATTCAGATTGTTCAGTAATCACCAAGTATGTTTTAGGAAGTAAATCGATTAAAAAATCATTGTGATCACACTAACCGTCAACCAGGATGCAGCTGATTGCAGCCATTCGACCGGGCGGTAAGTTCCCACGTTGATGTCACTGAGCAAGGATACCGTAGAATATTCAGGAGTGTGTCTCGTGGCGGACACCAAGTAGCCAGTATAGTGGTTCACTCCAAAGAAGTCAGCGGTTCCTCTGATCAACACTCGTTCTTCCTCGGAGAGCTGCGGGAGTCTGGTGCGCGGGTAGCCGTGCTCTGCGCTTTTTTCAGCTACTCTGACAACTAATTCTTTCGGGAAACCACCTTCTTGAGAAAATATAGGATGGGCGTAGATACCCCACTGCG